AGGCGGACTGACCTGCAGAAGTCATCCGAACTACCGCGAACTGATACACATGGTCGAGGCCATTGCCCAAGCTTCCGGGGTCGGATTTCCTATAGCCATTATGCGCTTTCTAGGTTGAGTGGCGCAGTCATAGCAAAGTGAGACAAGAAAGATCAATACCCGGTAATTGAACGAATGATTACATTTAACCGAATAAATATACATTGGCCCCCAGACGGAAGCGGGACAGAAGCGAGCTCAACCGGGTTATTTTCACAGGTGTGCTAAAATGTAAGTCACAGCGTCCACAATGACATTAGACCTAGGGGTCGCCCACATGGAGCAATACTCAACATAGAGCAAATGGAGAGAGTTTAGTTTCTTGGGATAAACTAAAATACCAAAAAAGGTAGAGAACAAACCTGGCGACCATATGCGCTGATTTTAGGAAGCTGGTTTCACACGCTACTTCAGCAAACTGGCCAATAATGAAAGTGCCGCCCATAGCTTTGAGAGGGTAAGAAAGTGGCGACGATGTTTCTGCAAAAGCGGTGATTCTTATGGGGTTAATCTTCGTATCCGCTCTCCTTCGCGCTATCCCCATGCCTCTTCCCCTGATCACGCTGGAACTCGGAACCACTACGTCAACTGGAAAGAAACGTAATTGTTTGTTCGTCAATCACTAAGCCGTTGCCGCCACTTCCATGCAGCGAATAATGTACGACAAAAGCTGTCAATAAGCGCTGGCCGTGATGGCTGGCATCCAGGAAATAGTGATGCATATTAATGCATATGTGATCACCTCACGGGATACGGAGGCGAAAATGTGTTTTATGTTTCGCTGACGAAGTAGATTTGGTGCGGCGCATCCTCAGTCGAGACGAAGTGTCAACGGCTTTGCAGACTGGTGTAAGTCGTCAGCGTCGTAACCTAGCCTCAAGGTACTCCATGTACTATGGACACGCAAAAATGCAGATGAATGACAATCAACACAATGCTGAAACCTCAGCAAGGGACAGTTAACTACAGTGCACTTCTGTGGAGCTTCTGTACTAAAATCCATGCTTGCGGCAACAGACGAAATACCCGTGCAACCGGAGGGGTATCGAGTGTAAGAACGCTCCATGGTGCAGCGTAACAAGATGACGCTCCACGGAGGACGTACCTGACGACCGTACTTGGTTTTCGTCCCTCGGGCATGCTACCAGGCCTGCGGGGAGACAGACCACCAAGCGGCCATAATTACGGTTTGTGTACTAATAAAGAACTCTAGTTGCCAGATATCTTAATCAGTCAGAAGTAAAAGCTAGGCCTTGGAGTGGCTCCCTGGGCTCTAACGAGCAAAGAGCAGTCACTGGAACAGGCGAATTAATGAGGGAAATGGAACGGCACCTACCATATGGGCCGC